TGTTTTGTTTTATCTTTTGTTATTGTTTGATTATTTTTGCTGCGAATGCGAAATTTGTTTGATATTTATTGTGTGCGAAAGGCGAAGCGAAACCCGCTGCTGCTTGGCAGGAAATATATGCCGCATATAATACGCTGACATTAAAAACACATTAAAAGCTCAATGATCTGTTATATTTGGCCAAGAAATTGGCTCTGTACCTCTGTAATTGCGGGGCATTTATGGTTGAGAAACCGCCGTGAACCAAGTAAGTGGCTGGTGCTCCACCCATCGTTGAGTTTACAGCAAATTAAACTGACGTCTCCTGCCACTTGTTGCGACCATGGCCAAATCCCCCCGGCTTCTTCTAGGCCAAAAGAAAAGGGACTTGGTTAGAAGGAGGAGGCATGTGGCACACAAACCCATACAAATTTTATAAATAGCCTGATCCTGCTGAAAAGCTGGCAGGCTTTTGTGTGCTCAGTGAAGAGGAAAGGAGTGTGTGTGTTGTGTTGTGTGTTGTGTGTTGTGTGGACATGCCTATTTATACACACTTTATGGAACCAACCCACCCTACACACACACACACACACTCTATTTTTGAAAAAACAAACTGAAAATTACAAGTTCAAGTGCTATTTCTGGTCGCAATTTATAATTAATAATCTACTTTGGCCACCGTGTCTGAAGGTGACCAAAATTAATGTTCCGCCTGACATTTAAGCGAATGCTTATACGTCTTTTTGCAACAATTAATTAATGGCACGACACCTACGACAATCATTGAATTATTTATCTAAGTGCCAACATGCACGGTTCATTTGCATTTACTATAAACACAGTGGCTACGAAAATTGCATTGTTTTTAGTCCAACTTGTGAGGTTTTTCCGCCCCCTTGGGGGGGTAAGTTGAATGTAATTTAATGTTTTATATGGCAACATAATTGGCATATGAAACCGTTTAGCGGAAAATTAATCAAAATTGCTGAATAATGTTTCGGGGCAGCCTGAGGCAATTGAATTAGCCATCAATTAGTGTCAGCTGGAATTCGATTTACGATGCGGAAAAAGGTCAATGTTGCTATTAAGTTGGTAGGAAAATAAATCATTAAAGTTGTAGAATAAAACTTTTAGAAAATTAAGATTACAAGGAAAAACTAAGCAAGAATTCATCGAAAGCAAGTAAGAATACTTTACAATTAAATGACGAAAGGCACAAGGAAGTGACGCTAGGAAAATTAAGTAAGAAACAGGATAACCTTCTTAAAATTAAGGTAAAACTTGGCCAAAAGTGTGTTTAAAAAATATTTAAAGTTAATTTCTGCCAAATTTAACTCTATTACATTTTGAAGACACCTTTAAAAGGAGTATTAATAACCCTCAGTCTCCAATTACTACCTCTTTTTGACTACTTATTTCCACCGTAAAAGATATTACCAAGGAAGAATCATCTTAATTACATAAAAACCAGCTTAAAGTTGTAGCTGCACGTGACAAAGGATGTAACTGGACTGGACAGGACAGCTATAAAATGCATTGGTTGGAATAGATTCCCTGGAATCGGGCTATAAATGCAAAACGTATAGAAAGCCCTTTACATAACTTGGCCATAATCGAGTCTCTGGGGGTGTGTGTGTGTGTGTGTGCGTGGCTGTCTCTCTGTCTGTCATTCGCATACATTGTCAGCTCACTCTGCTTGGCTGCATTTTTCTGGAGCACACACACCCATACATGCACAAAGGTAAAAGCGTGTCACTAACACGCACCCCCTACACACATACGTTCAAGGATAAAGTCCACGGCAATTGTGTTAGGAACTTTGCTTTCATTGACACCTCTCCCCTTCTAACCCTCTGTTAACCAGAAACAGTGAAATGCCTTTCCACCTATTGCGGGTTTTCTGTGGGGATGCTGTGAGCTCTTAAAATCAATGCAAATTTTAATTGAAAAGTTAAACAAATTTAGTGAACAAAACAAGCTCTAGTTAAGGGTACACAAAAAGGGTTAGAAATTGAATTCAAGTCCCTGGCTAAGAGAGACCACATTATCTATGCAAAGTGTTTAGCCTGGGAAAACTAAGATCAAAGGTGAGATTTAATGGCATTTTAAATAGAAAATAAATGTAGAGTCAAAGGAGATTAGTGTTTGTAAATATTTAAATATTTGTTTGGTCATTGATTTAACTTAATTTTGATATTTTAAAGAAGTTTCAAATTCTTTGCTTATTCAATTTCATTCAAAATAACCTTTAAAAGATTTGAAATCTTGCTTTGTGGCAACTTAATTAAATCTTTATAGATTCTAAATAATAAACAAATTCTTGACATTAAAAACCTAGTTGGTAGTTATATATTTCATAGATTATTCAACCTTAATAAAAGGTTAAAGACTTTCTTTCGTTCTTTTCTTGTTTTTAACAAACCAAAAGGAACTTTACACTAGTGTCCTATTTAATGTTCCTCGAAAAAGGTCAAGTTTTCTTCAACTTTTGTCCTTGAATCGTCTAATTTTGTTATGCAAATTTCATATTTCTAAAATTGAAAACTCAAGACTATGAAATTAATAAGCAGCCAGATAATCTTCCAAATTTAAAGACCAGAGTTCACATTAAACACAAGACAGTGAGGAATTCATGTTGTGGCTGCCTGGAATTTTATATATACTTCCTTTTTTTTTGTTTTTTGTAATTAGCCTTAAGGTCAGCTTTGGCATCCCGGTTTTCCGGCATTCCGACATTCCATGTTAGCTCCGATCAGCATCGTCTCATGTTCCAAAACGCCCATTCAGCACACACACTCACATTGTCCTTGGGTCCATCAGAATAATTATTATCCTGGGCACAGGTGAAGTTCATGAATTTACGCGTCGCTTGTTTGAAAATGTTTTAACAGCACCGAAGGAGGTGGAGAAGGTGGAGGAGGAGGGACACCAAAGGACAATAAGGACAACAACTGGGCGGTCCTGTGCCTGTGTCAGAGCCTCTCTCTCTCTGTGGATAAACAAGAACAAATATTGAACCTGACGCAATAAGCTGCGAGTGAGCCTTTTACACACACACACACCCACATTCGCTTTAAATGGCTTTTAGATGAGTTTGAGCCTGCAACGTCAACGCGGCGTATGCGCAATTTATACAACGCTCGAGTGGCATTTACAGAAAAATAACATTTGCCAACGCAAAAAGTTGCCAAGTTGCTGGATAATTAATGTGGAAAAGTATAAATTATGACTTGACTCTCCACTTGCACCTTAATGCGAAAGGGAATGGGATAAGGAATGAAGGAGATCTTAAATAAATAATGTTGTCTGATTTTTTAAAACATTGTTGAATTGTTATTTCTTTTCTTAAAATCAATTTAATATAAAAGAAATAAACCCATACTTAGGCTGTATGCCTTTACGACCTTTTCAAGAGTGCCCATCTTTTACAATGTTGTATAAACACATCTGGTCACACTACAGATTCTTTAATTCTTTCCTTCTTTCTGAAAACAATATATTTCATATAATTTACTAAATTCTCCCATTATTTTATCAAGTTCTTGGTAATTCAGGATAATTTTCAAAGTAATCATTATGCAACCTAATAATGGTTACCCTCATTACATCAATCACACGTTAATGACCCAATATTAAGCTATTTATTTATTAGCTTCCACAATTTGCATACATAATTCTGTTATGCAGTTAGCCATAATTTCTTGACCAGGTCGAGTGGGTTGAATCACTGGCCCGCTGCCAAGATCCGTTACAAGCGGGTCATGCGTCCGGACTTCACAGTTAAGGGCCACCGGCAGCTGTCAGAATGCCAGAGGCATAAATCGATGGCCAAAGGGTTGCTCTCGGGTTATAAATAAATGCAGAGACAGAGAGTGAGAGTACTGGGAAGGAAGCGGCAACCCAGTCAACCTGGACGAGCAGGTGGACAGGTGGACAGGTGGTGTGTCCCCTGCTTCGCTTGAGTTGCGCTGCTGGCATCGCTGGCAGTATCCTCGTGCAAGTTAATCGCTTGCAAAACTCAATAATAATTCACTCAGCTCCGGGGAGTTGCCTTCCCTCATTTTGACATGGTCTCCTTAGCCATTGGCAGTTCCATCCCTGCCGGAAACTGTTTCATGTTGTCGCTCAGGCTGATTAAAAATCAATAGCTTCGTCGCCAGATCCTTGCAACTCAACAGATTAGCATTTAAAATAGCTGCTGCTGAGGCCAAGTGCCTGTGTTTCATCCACAAATTGGATGCCATTCGATTGAAATTCCTTTTGGGGTTTGTTCTGGGACTCGTAAAAAGATATGACTTACATTTATTATTTGCGGTTCAGTGCCTTCTTTGTCATCAGGCTTTTGTGTGTGTCTTACTGGAATTAGCCAAACATAAATAAGCAATTTCATGCGGTTGATGCTCTCATTAAATATTATTTTTGTGTCAAAGCTTCTAACTGCTATTAAATAGCTTTGTTCTTTCTTTCTTAAATAAAAATATAAAAATAAACCCGCTTTAATTGCACTTGAACAAGAAATCTTCAAAAGATGACAGAATAAAGATTTAAGGTCCCATTGTTTTCCCTCAGACACTTCACATTCCACACACACATCTCCTCAATCACTTCACTTTCAAGAGTTGCGCAAAAAAAAAAAGATTCTGCGAAAACTTTTACTTTCATGTCACTGCCACTCCTCAAGGGTAAAGGAGAAAAACAATTTAAGAGCTTGTCGTCGTCTGACCGCAGCTACATAATAATTTTAAACCGTCAGCTTCATTTGCGACGGTTTACAACATAATCCATCAACTGACCATGAAAACCCCAAAAACAAACCCGAAATATAATGGTCCAGACTCTGGCGCGACTTTTGCATCTTGAACCGCAATGGATATTCGGCGGGCCTCACGGATTGAATTTGATCCGGCTGAAAGGACACGCTGACGATGGCAATTTAATTACAATTAATTTAATTCCCTGCCTGCCCTGCGTATACGCAATATTGAAACGCATTTTCACCTCCCCCATTTCCCTCTTTGCAGAAATCGAAGCCGTGGAGGCTTGCAAATGGCTGAGAGCTGCCGGCTTCCCCCAATATGCGCAGATGTATGAAGGTAAGTGCGAACCATATCCTCCTGAATAAACACATACATATGTACATATGATGTATATTTGTTATGCCAAAGTAGTAAAGACCAATGCCAGGACACGCACTTCCGTCTTTTGCCTCTTTTTTGTGCACTGCGGCAAAAACAAAGTAAAGAAAGAGTCGAAAGTATTGGAATATTTTTAACAATTTTGACCATACACACTTTTAATTTCATGAAAGGGGTCATTGTATTTTTTATTGTCTACTTCTTCACTTATAGAATGATTTCTAAAACACTTGTATGTCTTTAGAAAAACTTTTTGTAATTATGAGATCAAAAGTGAATAATTTTGAATTTTCTTAGCAGAAATAAAGCTGGATGTAGAAAGTTAAAGGACAAACCCATTAAATGTGCACCTAAAATCTACCAAAAAAGCCAATTTCTCCTGAAGAATTTAAGAAATGTAGATTTGATAAAAAGTTGTGCCTAAAATCTTGAATGTAGATACATTTTCTTGATTTCAGAGTGATATATCATATCTTCAATATAAAAATAATGTCATAAATAGCTTTACATCTATTTAATCATTGCAAAAATACATTCTTTGTATTAAATTTATAGGTAACTTCTTTAAGGAAAATATTTAGTTCCTTTTAGGATAACATGAACATGAACATATTAACACACATACAAACATATCTCAGAGTTGGACAGCAACCATCGTTTTATTTTAGTTATGTTAGAATAAATTGGGAATTATATGCACAGACGTGCGAGATTTGTCGCCACAAATTGATTAAACTAGAAAACAACTCCCTAATTATGAGAAAAATGGAAACCCTTATGCCTTAAAAATGGTATTAATGGTATATTGCCTTGAATTTATGGTGCCTTGCTGTAAATTTTGGTAACATATTCTTTTAATTCTAGAAAAAAGCTAAACGAGTGCTGAGATAAGCAAATAATAGGGCAGCTTAATACATTTTAAAAATACCTAAGGCGAATGGAATGGTTTGTTTTACTAGAATGAGGTTCTAACAAGAATTAATTAAGAATTAAGAATTAAAATTTTATTCATTTATAGAATTTTGCTCACAAAAAAATAGTTGTAAATTTTCAGCTAAAGATTTTTAGAGAATGTAAACTTGGGAACTTTATCTAGTAACTTTATAAAGTAAGTTTTGATTTTAATGTAGTTTTATCAAGGTTAAAGTTCTTCTTAACAATTTCTATTGTTTTTGTAATCTGAAAAGATTAAGGTAGTCCCTTTATCTCTCAGTGTGTGTGTCGTGTCAGCTTTTGTCCTGGGGGGCGTGGTGGAAGGTGGAAGGCTAGTGGCTAGTGGCTGGTGGTCGGTAATTGATGGTCTCGTCATCGTCATCGTCATCGTCATCGTCATCATCAGTGACGCAGCAGCAGCAACGTCAGCGTCAGCGTCGACCGAGGCACTTGACCAACATGCCCGCCATTTAGTCTTGTATGCTTAACGCTCTCCAAGTGGCGGTTTATTAATTGTATTACACGAACTTTCACTTTTCTCGATCGAATACAAAAGCAAAAAACAAAAAACAAAATAAAACAAAAAAAACATTTATGACGTGGCAACAATTTGAGAACAAACACTTTAAGTGCCGCCTCACAATGTCTAAAGATTTCAACACCCGGCAAGACAAAAGAGCCAAGTGAATTTGATATCCCAAAACAAGCCGCAACAAAAAAAAAAACCGGCGACAACAATTAGGTGGAATGGATCCAATCGGATCCAACCGAACCAACCAAAGCAAAGAATAAACTTAAACTTAAAAAAACGAAAGCGAAAAGGATCAAGGCAGTCTCAAGAATTTAACCCAAAGCAAGGAACCCAAAAAAAATACAGATGGGATAAAATATATAATAAAAGGCTAAAGGACACGCAGGCCAAAAGAATTTATGAGGACCACCTTCGTACAAAAAACGAAGAAACGAAAAATGTGTTTGCTGTTGATTTTTTTTTTTGCCGATTCCTTAAGAAAGGGCTTTGGCCTTTGAAGATGGGTCTCCAAAAAGTTTAGCACAAGTTCAATGAACTCCACACAAGCTGCATATTTATTTGATTTCCTTAATCGCAACCGAAGGCGACCCTTCTCCGGAGCATTTGTCGCAACGCATTTAACGCCCGAAGAACGCTCAGATTGATGAGAGCTCCAGAGAAGAATGCAGATTCTCCAAAATAACATTTTAAAGCTTGTTTTAGGTTTTTTTTATTTTGTTTTTGTTTGAATTATGACAAAAAAAATCAGCAAACGAATAAATGTGCAAAAGCTAACAACAACAAAAAGTGAATCTGAAATGGAGAGCCTGCAATTTGGACATGTCCGCAGGCGCCCCGTCGCCGACCTTGAAATATGTGAATTTTATCCCGAAAATTAAAGATAAGAATCAACTGCACTGGGAGAAAAATGTTCCAATTTTTCATAAAATTGAACCTAAAACTTAGATATATATATAATATAGTCGTTCGATCCTGCTGGTTCATACATAAATACATATGAAAGAGAGAGTATATAAAAAAAGAAGAAATGGTAGAAATCAATAACTTGAGACGATTCGGTTCAATATAAAGTTAAATAAATAAATGAAAATTTAATAAAAAAAATTATTGATAAGATAAAAAAGCAGAAACCCCGTGATATGAAATGATCTTACCTCTTCAAAAGATAACAAAGAAATAACTAAAAAATAAAATAAAAATATGGATTGGGACTACAGCTGCCGGTATATAACGTCTCGTATTGCAAAATTAAACCACAAGTTCGCAAACTGTCAAGATATTTTATTATAAAACCAAGGTAAATCTTCTAAAAAAGATACATTAAAATAAAACCAGAAGATGATGATAGAAATATGATAACTGTCAGACTTCACTATCAAACTTATGTACTTAACAAACAAAATAAAATAATATGAAACAGTTCAAAATAAAGCTTAACTTATTAGATGTTAACTCGTTTGATTTCAAAAGACGAATACATTTTCAACACGTTGAGCTTAGGCAGGTAAGCAGATTGATTGACATTTTGAATTCATGGCAATCTATGTTCAGAATTTAAAAACCAAATTTATTGCCTACAGAGATACCAGAAATGTAAAATTAGGTCACACTGTTGAAGTTTATCACTAAAAAACTTGAATTTTTACTGCCAGTAATTTTTTCATTAGTCCAAAAGGACATATTCATAATATATAATATTTAATATATTATTTTCCATAAAAAAACTCGTAGTTATTACAAATGTTAAGGACATTTATCAAATCTTTACGTTATTTGCTTGGCGTTGCCACCTAATTTTCTTAATTTAAGGGATCAATAATTGTTATCCTTTTATGGCAATTTTTTACTCTAAATACCTCTCCTTTTTTTGAGTGATAGAAGCTCAAATAATTCTTAACTTGGTAAATAATTTGTGCAGCCATTTAAACTGGAGCCCAACCCAAGAACAAACTTTAATTCCATCGCAATCCCAATCCAAAAATCCCCATCTGCATGACCATCTTCTCCCATGACCGGGGACAACATGATAAATGCGTATTTTAATGAGTTTCGTGTAAACAAGGCAGCGGCGCATGCGCAGATTTTTGCTGCTCAAATTTCTTGAGCATTTCCTGGGCATTCTTTTCGAGGATTGCTCTGCTAAAAATTCTGTAAATTAAAATGCCGTAGGTGTGTTCCCCCGTAGCTCTGTCATTTTCCCCAGTCAGGCATTTGCCGCTGCCGCTGCTGAAAGGAGGTGTTCCGTCTGTAAGCGACTGTTAATTTGCTCTGAGACCAGGACAAAAAAAACAAAAACAGGAGAAAAAATCCCAAGGAAAACAAAAAATATCAAGAGAAGGAGTTGCCCCTTTCTTTGTTTGCCTTTTTGTGTGCATTTCTTGGGCACATTATTCACCGAAAGTGGCAGACTTAATTCGAGGGTGTGACCTGCGCCAAGACAGGATCATATGGGAGTGCTTAAGAGGGCAATAAGAGCTCATGAGGCTTGTTTAATGCAGTCAAGCCAGGCCAATCGATTTTTTTGCACGTCCAAAAAGAACTGGTTTTCCTGGGTACCAAAAGAAGTGAATTTATAAGAAAATATTAAATCAATTTTCAATCAAGATAAAATTTATTAATATACAAATAGAAATCTTTGTACCTCTTAAGTTTCTTCATTGAAAACACTCTATCAAAAATTTGATCATGAATCTAAACAATAATTATTTCGTGATCTTTGTGTGGTGTAATTACTCGGTGATCCCAATAAAAATCTATATTCGGTTGAAATCCGCTTCCTAATTTAGATTCCAGGCTAATTGCTTCTATATTTTCCACAAAATAGCCATAAATTGTGCCTAATTACATTCGAATTTCTCTACAATCTGCGTCATTGGGTGAGAAAATGAAAAGATTAATCATATAATTGGCCCAATAAAGACCACCTCTCACTTGCACTCTTGTAAACTGTGAAAAGCCAGCAAGAAAAATATATAAAGACATGAAAATTTACACCGAGCTTCTCCAGTAATATCATTTTCTTTCTGACGTCAATGGAGTTTTTCTTATTTTTGTAAAGGTAAACTTCCCCTGGTGGCACACTTCCCAAAAAAAACTTTGTTTACACCTCAGCCAGCGGCATCAAAGTGCATTCAATTAGAAGCTAAATACACACACTTCTCACTTAAATGTTTAAAGAGGAGCATCCGAAATGGTATTTTAAATACCCAACAACAGCAGGGCCAAGTGCGCCAAAAGGAACAAGAGCCTTTCCCGAGGAGCGTAAACAAAACTATAAAAAGCTTCTTCCACCACAAGTTGGGGCGTTACTTTTCTTTCAGCTGAAGAGTTCAACAAACCATGAATGGCTTTTCAAGAAGAACAGCAAAATATTGTTGTAATGCTAACAATATTTGTACAAACAATAGCGGCAACAGCTTTTCCAGGCGGCTCCACATCCAGCCAGTGCATCCTACGGATGCCGAGGTGTATCTGTATCTGCAGCTGCAGCTGTCCATGTATCTGTATCTGCAGTGGCCTGTCCGTATCAGGGATTATTATTTTTTTTTTCTACAATCTATGTGACGCTTCGCGACATGTGTAAACGTCTGAATGCACTTGAAGAAATGACTTTTTAATTAGGTTTTAATTAACTTGAATTGAAAATAGATACAGGCAATGTTTTAGGGAAATTTAGGGATTTTCTTAAGGGATTTTAATAAATATAATTAAGTCTTGTACAATTTATATTTATTTTCTTGTCTTGAGATATGTTTTATACATTTTCTTCCTGTGCCTGATGTGGTCGTGGCGGCAGTCGCCTTGGAACTTGATTTCCTACGTGCGAATTGGCCACGCAAATATGTGGAAAAACGCTTGTGAAAATGTATCTGAGACTCCTATATCTTTCATATATACATAGATATATAGACGAAGCAGCAACCCGACTCGCAGCCGTGCACTCGTACCCGTACCCGTTTAATGATCGCTGGCGCCATGGGCGTTCGACTTTTCTGGTTTTCTCAATTAGAATTTCACGCGTCGTCGAGGCGTGCGGTCGCAAAAAAACTTATATATATTAAAAAGCATTAAAGCCAAGCCTAATAGTTGTCCTTTCTTCGTCGTTGTCCTATTTTGCAGACCATCAGTTCCCGATTGATTTGAATAATGTAGCCAAAGATCACACAAATCTGGAGAACGATCAGTTGCAGTCCCTGTATCGTCGACTTTGTGTCCTTAATCGCTGTGCCACCATGCGGCTGGATCAGTCGCACAAACCGCAGACACCACAGGTAAGATTTTGAACTAATTTAATAATATTTAAATCAAATTTAGGGTATTTAAGAAAGGATTTTGTTAGGAAATTAATTCTCCAAGACTTCGAAATCGTTTGATATCTTAAAAATCATTTTCTGATAACTAACTTGAGACTAGACACTGATTTTCGGTTTGATTAATGAGAATTAAATGCTTTAAAAGTCAAAATAAAATGTAAACTTAGTTAAAATCAATATCTAGATTTCTTGTATAAGAAATATAATTAATATTAATTAAAACTTTGTTTTCTATAACCTTATAAAAATGTTCTTTCTCTTTTTCAGCAAAAGGAAGAATCAGACGATGAGAACTTTGCTTTGAGTGAAAACTGGACATTCCAACCGCACATTCGTCGCTGGTCAAGGATCGGTGAGATGGGCCTGGAATTGCCGCCGCCAGGACATCTTAGTTTGAATGTGGAGAAAACCGAAAGCTCCTCGAAGGAGTCAAGTCCAGATCGCTTTGAGGACGAAGGCTCTGGCATAACCCTAATGATTCCCGGCTGCAGTAAAGTCAACAGTGGTGGTGCAGCCACCGATGGCTCCTCTCTGGGCGATGGCTCCGATGGAGGTCGCTTGAGGCGAACGGGTAGCGAGCGGTTCAAGGATGGAGCCAAGGCCTTCCTACGACGCGTCGAGTCCATCAAGTCACGTCGTCGCAAGCGACAGAATCGTGAGAATGTGGTGATTAGTGGACCCCAGGTCCTTGATCTTTCCCAGTTGGGTCAACGGAGTAGTCTTCGGAAGATGCCCGATGGCGTCTACTCCACCCCGCCCTCACCTTCGGCCCTCAGTCCAATGCACACATTCCCCAAGGCTCCGTTCTTTGGCAATGAACTGAAGGTGCCCAGTCATAGCGATAATTTCCTGAGTCCAAATCGCGCCAGTCCCAAGCGAACGCCCACCACACCGCGATCGATGCGAACGAGTCCCTTGCACTTCTTCTCCAGTCCCATGTCCCAGCTGAAGGAGGGGAAATCGGATGATTCCTCATCCTACTACAGTGACAGCCAAGAGTCCTCCGCCGGGGGTAAACTCTCCCTGCGAAAACCCTCCAAGGCCCGTCGATTCCTGCAACGGTCGGGCAAGGTCGATGACATTGGTGCCCATTCCGATTCGGAGTGCCATCAGGGACGAAAGTTGCTCATCAAGGATGCCAATTCCAATACCACTGAGGTGAAGATCAAGAAGCTGACACGCGGTGGTTCCCTGAATTTGGGCAAAGATCCCAAGAAACGTGATGGTTTCCGCTCCTCATCCTTCCGCTCACGCAGCACTTCACGCAAGGAGACCAAGAATGAGGAGGAAAATGCTCCGGGAAATAGTGGTAACTCATCCAAGCGACAACCTGTGGTGCGTTGGCATAGTTTCCAAATGGAGGAGCGTCCGAATATGATATTCCGCAAATGTTTCTCCAAGAAAATTGAGCCACTGCAAGAGGATCCCAGTGGCATTCCCTTCGCAGCCATGTCAGCGGGTCAGCTGCAGATTATAAGGAAGTTGGCCTTGGTCACTCTAACTGGACACATGGAGCGATATTGTCCTAGTCATCGATCGGGTTGGAATTGGGAACTGCCCAAGTTTATTAAGAAGATCAAGATGCCGGACTACAAGGATAAGAAGGTATTTGGAGTGCCGCTCCTGTTGATCCTTCAGCGTAGTGGACAGACTCTTCCACTGGCCATGAGGGCTGCCCTCCGTTGGTTGCAACTCAATGCCTTGGATCAGGTGGGAATTTTCCGTAAGAGTGGTGGAAAATCAAGGATTATTAAGCTGCGGGAACAGATCGAAGTGAGTGACACCACTGCCGAATGCATGGATGTCTTTGATCTGCAGCAGGCTTACGATGTGGCCGATATGCTGAAACAGTATTTCCGCGAGCTACCCGAATCCCTGCTGACCACCAAAATGTCCGAGACCTTTGTGGCCATCTTTCAACGTGAGTTTTAAAATAGAAAATAAAATTTCTTAGATTCTAATATAATTTCCTTGTAGATCTTCCTGCTGAAGTCCGTTTGGATGCTGTCCAGTGTGCGGTACTCCTTTTGCCCGATGAGAATCGTGAAATCCTCTATGTCCTTCTCGAATTCCTCACAATTGTGGCAGCAAACTCGCAACAGAATCAAATGACAAGCAATAATCTTGGTGTTTGTCTGGCTCAATCCATTTTCCACTCATCCATTTCAACGGGTTCGGCTTCCGTTTCCGCTTCACCAAGGAGGAAGGGCAAAGGTTCCGGAATGCCGGACATGAAGGAGTTGGCCGAGGCAAAGGCCTCTCATGAATGCCTTTCGTTTATGATTGAACACTATAAGCCCATCTATACAGCAGCCAAGGAAAAGCTGAGTAAATGCAACTTTAGCTACATGGAAGAGTCCAAGCCAGTGCCTTTGGAGGCCTTGGGTGAGGGGATGCAGTTCCACAATTGGCGGGGTTACCTGTACGAGTGCACCAGTGCCACCATTAAAGAGGGTCGCGAAAAGTAAGTACAAATAAATAATTATTCCTAGAACCATTTTAAGTTATTAAGTTTTTAAGTTTTATCTATACTTTAATATATATTTTAATCTCTCTTTTAGAACCCGCGGCTGGTTTAGCATTAATTCGCTGAATGACAGCAATGTGGACATTGCCTACAAAAAGGTGGGCGATGGTCATCCCCTCCGGCTCTGGCGTTGTTCCACAGAAATCGAAGGACCACCCAGAGAGGTCCTGGAATATATAATCAAACAGAGAGCTTCCTGGGATGCCAATCTTTTGCAATGTCAGACAGTAAAAAAACTGGATGATCGCACTGAGATATATCAGTATGCCCTAGATGGTCAGCTCACCACAGACTTTTGCGTGTTGCGGTAAGTAATATTTATTTTTTAACTTTTTTATTTATATTTTATATATATTTAAAATATATTTGTTATACGTTTCAGTTCCTGGCAAACGGACTTGCCGCGTGGCGCCTGCGTAATAGTGGAGACCTCGATTGATCATGCCAAGGCCAAGCCACTTTTTGGGGCTGTAAGGGGCGTGGTTCTTGCCTCTCGATACCTAATCGAACCCTGTGGCAGCGGCAGGTCAAGGGTCATGCATTTGGCCAGAGTGGATGTGAAGTGAGTTTACTTTAATGAAAATATAGAAAAAACCTGACATTTCTTGAAGATATATAAAGGATCACCCTATTTTAAAGCAGACTGCTAAAGTGATTTCAAATCTTCAAGGACTATAGATAAATATACAATATAATAACCAAAATTTCTTCTAATTTTCAGGGGCAAAACACCCGAATGGTACAATAAGAACTATGGACACATTTGCTCTCATTACCTGTCCCGCATTCGATTGGCCTTCAAACACGTTGCCGATGGACCCGAAAGCAAAGTCTAAATATAAAATATATTTTAAAGAAGATCGTTGTTTGTCGCAAAACTGAAGCATTTATACGTACAAGCAAAAGGAGCTTAACCCAACGATTGCAAAAAAGAAAACCATTGAAAAAAACCCAAGGACCACAAAACCAAGAGCTTGAGTTTCACATCCTGCCTTCAAAAAATAAAAATAAAGGTGAAGCCGGACCACAAAAAGAGAGAGAATATAATCTTGTAAATACAAAAAATTAGTAGGTTTCCTAGTTTTTAGTTTCTTCGATTTAGATTTTTACCTATAGTTTATTGTATTATATTTATATGTGGAAATAATTTATATTGTACGGACAAGTGAAATCTAATATCCAAAATACTCAACCAACAAAACACACACACAGAGAGAGAGACGTAAATATCACAAAGTATCTATGTATCTATGTATCTTTTAATGAGGATTTCGAAAGTCTACGGCACTCCAAATGTCTTTAATGTTAATTAGTTTGTAGTCTCTCGGCAATATGTTAACAAGTATCAATATCTGTATGTATATCTATCGGGAAAACAGAAAACAACAAAACAAAAACAGCAAAGGCAAACCTTAAAAAAATGTGTAAAGCAAATTCAACTAGTCAAATTTTATAAATCTAAGTTAATGTACTAACCCCAAATACACTCAACAAAACAAGAACAGCAACCAGAAGGCAAAAATAACAATACAATGTCTTTGCCACTTAATAAATAACGTGTTTCGAGGAGTAAGTTGATCGATTTTGGCTGGAAATATTGAATGTATCTATATATATCGGAGTTATTATTACCACTATCATTAGTTTATGGATGTGCCCTAAGATCCCCGATCAATACATTATATATATATATATTCTAATATATACTATAGTTTTATATGTGTCTATATACAAATACGCTACCACATAAATCTATAATCGAGTGTACGAGTTACCTATTGAAATGGATCGGAAAGAAAAAACACACACTGAAAACTAACCAATGTCAAGGGGTATATATAGAGGAGAGAGACCTGTAACTCGGATATATTCGAAAGCATCAAGAAAAACGCAATAAAAGTACATATTATGCGAAAAGCGATAAAATATAAAATACAACCAATTTTGTCTTATTATTTATCTTGAGGAATATGTAATAAAAAATAGGGGGTTTTAGGTACTTTTCTTCATGGAAAATTAAAGTTTTACTTATTTTACTTACGAATTTTGGAATGTTCTCTTACAATTATTTCATTTAAAAAGAATTTGAATATTTTTTTGAGAACAGATTTCAGTTTAAAAACTTTACATTCACTCAAATTTTTACATTCACGACATCATCACTGGATGTTTCTTATTAATTTCATGTTTTTTTTTTTTGAAAATTTTTAGACTGAAATGCGATACAAATCAATAATATATGTATATGTCAATATATATTTCTTGATTTAACATGGTTTGAAATGAGTTATATATTTTTTCTTAATTTATATGCAGAAAAATAAGCATACATTTTACAGAATCTGGATGTAGTATCCAGTATACCGTATCCACATATAGATGGCGCATTAAATGTGTGAAATGTCTGTATAGATGGCGTCTGAGTGGCAAAACTGGCTGCATAGGTGGCGCCCATATATCCTTTTTAGATTATTCGAATTGTTCAAGTATTCGTAAAAATAACAAATACATTAAATAAGAAGAACAAGTAAAAAACTTAAATTACTAAATAATAAATAATTTATAAATTGTTCAATTGCTTTTGGGGAAAATATAAGAAATATTACGAACATTTATTTCATTATTTTATATCAAATTAATTGTTTTTTATAACAAATAAAGTCGGTTATTATTTATAAAATAAAAAATTAATAACGAAAACAAAATTAATGTTAATTTTTGCATGTCGATAGTGATTTTATTTTTAATAATTTTTCATTTGGGATAAGAATTTCTGAGTAATCCTTGGATGTGCGTATTTTTTGAAAATATCACATTAAAAGTACACCACAACTTAAAATCCAAGATCTTTTAATCAAAAATTCTCCCATCACTCACACCCCATTCACTCACATTAAAATAATTAATAATTTTATTATGTTGCACCTGAACCAGGCTCTCAAGCTAGTTTTTTTCGATTAGCATTTGGAGCAACCAGTTCCGTTCGAGACCATTAGCCATGGCTATCACATTTGTAGCCGTCGCACAGTAATACTACCAACTACCAACTTATTTGAGCCTTGTTTGCTCTCTAATTGACTGCCGCCCAAGCGAGCGAGCGAGGCGTCCGTCCGACTAATAAATTGAAGGCACACCGGGAAAGCCCACCTTCAAGCCTCTCCCCACTTTTGGTTGCTTTTTACACATGTCGCGGGACAAACGGTCGCTAATTGTGCCCAGGCAGCCGGTCCCAAAAAAAAAAAATACAAAACTGGGGAAAAATAAAAACTGAATCCGAAAAACTGACCCCGAAAAAAGTGCCGTAAGAGGAGGCGCACTTGCAATCACACACACTCCCCCCTTTGCACCGCGCGCTCATGCGACAGACATTAAAAGTCCATTAAAAAATTATGTTCACCCATGGCGTGCCATGGCTCCTGTTGGGGCGTTTACTCGATTGTGTTGCTTGGAGAGGAGAGGAGGGGAGAGGAGCGGAGAGAGGGAGAACCCAAAGCTCCAGCTCCAGACCATGGGCGAAGGCAATTTTTGGGCACTTGGAAAAATAGTTAATATGAAAAGTACCCCATAATACCCTTAATACCTATAACACCTCAAATAAGGAGCTTCAAATATAATTTGTATGGTTTCTCAAGAGTAGATCCTTGTAATACTAATAATATATTATTTTAATACCATTTTAGATTGGTTTAATGGGTTATATTGACATGTAAAATACCTTTAATTGTTTATTGTTATTAATACATTATAGTATTTATATTGTATTACTTTATTTAATTTGTTATTGGATTTAATGGGATTTAATGGTATGGAAACTTTAATTGTTTATTAGATTTTGATTTAATATGCTAATTCTTTTCAATATCTAGTATAAGTTTTATTTATCAACTTAAGAAGTAGTATTCTTTCGTTTATAATGTTTATAAAATACTGAACTCAACTGGGAACATGAAATGTCAACCAATATAGAGGTAAGTCTTTATAATATTGACAATGATGCGGGATAATTGATATACCAATTAAAACTAAAACAAATATAAAATAAACAAGAAAGAAAGCTAACTTCGGCACGCCGAAGTTTATATACCCTTGCAGATAGAACTTCTGTGAATAGGAATCCATACAATATTAATTATATATATTTGTGTTAAAAAACAATGAAGTAATACCTGCTTTCATTTCATTCACCTATACATATTATATTTGCAATTTTACAGTCACAGATTTGCATTTTTCCTCTACATCAAACGATCGTTTGTATGGAACCTATATGATATAGTCGTCCGATTTTCATGAAATTTGCCACAAAATTTAAGACTTATATGAAATGGCTATACCTCAAATTTGATGAAAATCAGCTGAAAACTGGAAAAGTTATAAATTTAATTGTATTAATTTCTCGATCGTTCCTATCGGAGCTATATGATATAGTAGTCCGATTTTCATAAAATTTTATACAAAATTGTAGAGTATAGTAAAATCGCTATATCTCAAATTTGAGCCAATTCTATTGAAAACTGAAAAAGTTAAAATTTTTTTTGTAAAAATTTTCCGATCATTCCTATGGAAGCTATAGGATATAGTCGTCCGATCCGGCTCGTTCCGACATATATACGAGTGAGAGTATATAGAAGGCTAACTACAAAGTTTCATTTAGATAGCTTCAAAACTGAGAGACTAGTTTGCGTAGAAACGGACAGACGGACAGACGGACAGACGGACAGAAGGACAGACGGACAGACGGACAGACGGACATGGCTAGATCGACTCGGCTGTTGATCCTGATCAAGAATATATATACTTTATATAGTTGGAGGTGCCTCCTTCACTGCGTTGCAAACTTCTGACTGAAATTATAATACCCTGCAAGGGTATAAAAAGAGCTCCAGCGTGTTATTAATATAATTCATACTAAGTTAAAACTCTGTTCCATAATAAAAATATGATAATCAAAAGGATATTTAAATACATCTGGTCTTATCACTTCCTAAAAACCCTTTTTTTTTTTAATTCTGATTTTAATCCAAGGCGACGTTTATAATAATTTTCTGTAGACCATTTATGTAAACATTTTAGCCTAATATACAACAAAATGCCAGAGAATTCATTACATATGTTTAATAAATAAAAAACGTATCGAAAGTGTACATAGATATTGCAAATTTCACTTTTGAATCCATTTTTAGCAGACTTATTCTCTATGACTTTTAAACCAAAACAATTTCTTTAGCAAGCCTAACAAGCAGTCCTTTCTCAAAACAAAATCCTTTTAATATACAAGAAAATGGGAAACTAGGACATTTTTTTAATATTTAAAACCCAAAAAATGTTTAAAAATATTATGAAATTGAATTAGGTACCGCCCTCTTTTCGCTCAGTGTACCAGGCTGGCGACCTTAATGGCCCAGTTGCGACTATATTTAGAGTGCAAGAAACTACTGCTGGCAGCAACAGTCAGGCAAAGGCATAATTGTAATTGCAAATTGCATATTGCAATGTTGTGCCCACATGCAGTGACATCGATTGCCATGCCTCCCTCCCATGACTGCCTGCCAGGCCGCTTTGCCTGGCAATGCAAATGTCCAACGTATTGATTGCATTAATTAATTAATTTGTGACTTAATTTCATGGGCTTGCGGCAATCAGCGCGCCGTGCACGCACCACTGCCAAAATGTATTAATATTGCAGGCCAGAAAAAGAGCGACAGACGCGACGCGATGCGTTGTAACACTTGTGTGTGTGTGTGCCTTTGCCTTGTTATTAATTGAAATTTAATGGCACAAAATATTTTTATTTATTTATTCGCCAATGCAATTGCATTTATGCGCACTTCCGTCGCGTCGCCCCCACATAACTCATACACACACACATGCAATTTGCACCGGCAATTGCAATTGCAACTGCAACTGCCACAGCAACAGCAGCAGCAACAGCAGCAGCAACAGCAGCAGCAATTTGCAGCAAAAAAACGCACCGCCATCGATGGCACCACCGCCGACGGCGCACGGCGGCTGGCATTTAACATCAAAAGCCCTGCCCAGACCAGACACGAGACCCCCCTCTCCGCCCCCTCTCCGCCCCCTCTGGGGCTATATTCAACGAGCTTGTAATTGATTTCACTTAAAAATTAAATAATGCATGCGGTTTTTACTGTAAAATGGATTTTCCAAATGCTTCTCCGCCGCCGCGACACGTTTCTTTCTATCTTTTCGCACCCACTCTTCTCTTCAGGGTTTCTGTGTTAAATTAAATATGAAAATAAATATCAACATAATTGAAATGGCAAGAGCAAAAGGCAGGGAAAATAATGTTGCAAAAATATAAAAAATAAACATAAAAAATAAAAGCGAAGAGAGAAATATATAAAAAGTGAAACGGAAAACAGGCAGCAAAGGCAGGCAGGTCGACACTGTGCAGCTGGGCGACGTAATTGATGAAATTATTTAAGAATTATTTCACAAATGCGGCGTGACAATTATGCGGGACTATAGCCCAGATCATGAACTCAGTACACAGAGAGAAAAGTTTACCACAAAGAAGAAATTATATATATTAAGGGGAAATTTAATTAACAGAGAGGGATTTAAATTAAATCATTTCGGGATATTTATAAATAATGTTATTGAGATAGAGATAAGACAAGTTAAATGTATATAGTATTATAATAATTTAGGGATATGTATGAATAATATTATTAAGATAAATATAAGAGAAGACAAATTTATATAGTTTATAATTAGAATTATTGTATAATATGCCTTCGGAATATATAATATTGTGTCATTAAATATATAACATTTCGATATAAGTACACTTACCATGATAATCTATAATGATCTTCCGAGATAAAATTAAATCCAACAAAAGTGTGTCTGAAAATATGAAAAAACTATTTTTAATTACGAAATACAACATCAATTTATCAGTTAACAAATTAATATGTAAAAGCAAAATTTTAAGACCTTTTAAAGGGGTTTAAAAAGTGGTAAAAACTCGTATTAACTTAGTTATAAGTAAAATGAGTTAAACTTGTATTTTAAATCATTTAAAATACATTTACTGATTTTTGTAGTTAAGTTTTCTCTATATATTACTTCTGCAGTCTCGTAAATAATAACTTGACATTAAATTTAAATTAATATATATAGTAGAGCCACTTTAGATAAGAAAATTTATATAATAATACGAAAAATTTTGAATCAACCTGCTATCAAAACGATTTAATCTAAAATTCTTACTTTTTAGAGCACAAAAAAAAACTCGAAAATAACATATAATAATTTTAATATATAATAGAAGTCTTCCTTTCTTATTAAAGTAATCAATTTATCAAATAATTATTATTATAAACCTCTTTAAATGTCAAGCACTTTCCGCACAGTGTACGCACACATTAAAATGAGCAAATAATAAAGCAGAAATTGTATTTAAACGCAGCCTGTAATTAATTATCTGCATTGGCATCCACCACCACCCAATCGTACCCACTGTGTTGATCGCATGCCAAACAGTGCCCACAATAAATTAATGAACCGAAAAACAATTATCATAAATAGCAGGGGCAACTTTTGCCATGAACTGATTTACAATTCCTATGTACATATATTTATATGTAAGTTGCGCGAATACTTTGTGAAATATTTAACATATTGCAATTACAGCTGGCGGATAAAATAAATATAAGTGACATATCAGCTCAAAGCGAGCTCGGGGCTCTTTTTCCCTTTAATTTTGATTTATACATAATTGCTGACACTACCAAACATGGCCAAAATTCAGGAGAATTAATAAAGTCATTGGTAACTGTAGTCATATTTTTGGACTTAATTAATAAATAAAATACATAAGCAATTATTATGGGTTTAGTTTTGGACTTGAATTCCATACACAGAGGTAAAAGAGAGTTTATCAAGAAGGGAAATTATACTTAAAAGACTTTAATGATTACTACAAATAAATGAATGTTATATGTATATGTTACATAAATCCTTTTACCCGTAGTTTTATTATTTCTATATAATAAAATCCCTTAATTTTTATATTTATTTCCCATTAACACCACTTATTTGTGTTGCAAATCCTCAACAATTTTCCACGAACTTCCCTTGCGACATTGAAACCCAGAAAAAAAAGCTGAGAAAAGGCAACAGAAACGAAGGCAATTAAAATGCGAATTGCACTGGTACTTGCTCTTGATTCCCCCCGATTCCCAGAGACCTGCTCGGCAAATGTTTATTTCGTTTTGCTAATTTCGCCTTAAAAGCAGCACTCAGTCTCAAGTGTCTGCATATGGCGAAAACAGATTCCAAATGCTTAAATGCTAAATTCTAAATGCTAAATGAAAACTGAGAATTGCCGGCTAATCAGCGGCACGTCAAACGCCTACGCAAAGAATGCGCTCCCGGAAAAGTCGCGGAAAAATCGAAACTGGATATGGGAGAGCTGAGAAAGGAGATGAGACTTGGGAAAAAAAGGACAGAAAATAGAGAAGAATAGGATGGATATATCTAAATAAATATCATATGTATGTATGATGATGTTCAATAAATGTCTAATCTAAAAACCTAAATAGTAAAGCTAATGACTTTCTTTTTGTGTTAATTTTAAATTAGTTACAAGTTGATCAACGAAAATTATTAGGTAAACCCCTTAAAATTAATATTAAATATGTTGCTGTATTAACAATAATCAAACTTGTCAATATTTTAACCCATACATAACTTAAATGCTAAGTTTTATAAAAATAAAAACATCTAAGCTGTAAAAACCTAAATAAAACCCTTGGTTTTTCTATTGCTTAAGCAGCATTTTCTTGTATTATAACTTATTTAACTTAAAATTGTACATAAATAGACATAAAATAAATATACATAAATAAATGAAATCAATTTTCAAATAATTAAATCAAACTTTGCGCTTGCGCTTTGCCTTTGCTTGAGGCGTGGATGAGGCTTGGGCCTCTGACAATTCCCCAATATCATCTAACATGGCCACAGATTTGGCAGCCACCAATTTCTTGACCGCCTTCACATTTGGCATAGAGGCCTTGGTTTGAGCCAGGGTTCCAATGGATTTACGTGGCTTCTTGGCTTTTCCCGCCTCGGAAGTGTTGATCTTGGCCTTGGTTTTGGCCGGCTTTTTTGCTGGCATTTCATCTTGAGTTGGAGTATCCAATAAAGCTCTGGCGGCCACTGAGGCGGCAGTCTTAGCCTTTGGTGGCACATCTTTGGTCACTTCCTCGGCCTTCTTCTTTTTTGTGGCCTATATGGAGAGTGAAACAGTGTTAATAGGAAATTTGCTAGTGTAAATTATGGTTTTACCTGATTGGTTTTCCTTTCGGATGCCTTGCCTGGCTTCTCCTTTTTGGTGGCCGCTTTTGTCTCACCTTTTTCAGCCTTTTTGGTCGCCTTTTTCATGGCCTTCTCCTTTTGCTTCTCCTGGGCCTTGGCCTTCTTTAGCTTTTCCTTTTCCTTCTCCTTGGCCAATTGCTTGGCCTTTTTGGCCTTCATTTTCTCCACGGCCATGCTGGCCTTCTTGGAGGCTTCTGTTAGTTTAAAGGATCGTTTTACCATCTGCAACTGACCATTGATCACACCCAATTTGAGGGCTCTGTTCATATTCCGAACTTGACGTTTCTCATCCTCCCATGAATGACCATTTTCCTTGAGATACTTCATAATGGCCATTACCGATGATCCGGAACGTTCCTTAAGCTTTTCAATGGCCATTATGGCCAAGGTGATAAAGGGTACTTTCTTTTTCCCAATCTCGGATTTAATATTTGCCTTGGATTTGGCCAGAAGATCGAGTGGCGCCATTTTGGCATCTTCATCGGGCGGAGGAGTGGGATAAGGATGCCGATCAGATGGTTTATTTTCATCAAGGGAATCTTCGGATGCGGAATTTTCATCAGCCTGCATCTCCTTGTCCTCCGCCTCCTCTTCGTCTTCCTCCTCCTCTTCCTCCTCTTCTTCTCCCAGCTCCTCATCTTCATCGGAAGCTGGTGGGGATGCAGCTTCTTCATCCTCAGACATCTCATTTTCAAAATTAGGACTTTTAATTGGCTTCATTTTAGTTTTAAATTAAATTATAACTTGCACAAAAATAAACTAAATACTTAAAAACACCAAGAAAATGTAATGAATACGAAAATGATAAAACACAACTTTACTGCAGACACTGAAGACTTTGAATAAATTTGTGAGCGATTAGAAAAAGCAGCAGTCAAAGCTCCTCTCAGAAACGGTAAAGCCGAAATCGTAAATAGATTATAGATAAAGATAAAGTCAGCATAAAAAGGAATGTAATAATTAATAGATTGAATACATTTTAAATAGAGCTTTCAAGTCAGATGAGAAAGCTGTTTGGAAGTAATTAACAAATTGAAGTCTGGTAGGAAAGGCATGAAAAAGTAACAAACTATTCTACAATTTAAAACATAAAAATAGTAGTAAAAATATGTAATTTCTTGTACTAAAAAATATATCTTTGGTGGATGAATAAATATATTAACTTAATTATTACACTTATTATACTTATTATATATTAACTTAAATTGTTTGTATACAAACAAGAGTGAAAATGGTTTAGGAAAGATTCTAAAACACATTTTGTTTTGCTACCTTTCAATGCAATATTTGTTTTTAAAATATTAAATAATATTTAGTTAAAGTATGATAAAACCGTTTTTAAAACCGTTTCCTATGCTTTATTATTAAACATATTAACTAAGATTAAAGTCAGACAAAATAAGCATAGTATAAGCTCCTAATTAATTGACATTTATCAACATAATTTGTATAATTTTTAATTCCAAAAAATAAATTATATGTTTCTGTAAAGTAATTTCAATTCAAAAATGCTTCGATTTGTATTAAATATTTATATATATGGTAAAAAATATTCCAAATGCTAAATTCTAAATAAGAACTGAGAATTGCCGGCTAATCAGCGGCACGTCAAACGCCTACGCAAAGAATTCGCTTGTGGAAAAGTCGCATAAAAAGCGAAACTGGATACAGGAGAGCCAAGAAAGGAGGATGAGGCATGGGAGGAGGATGAGGAGGAGAGGAGATAGAGGAGAATGGAGCTTTGGAAGATGCGGAGATGGCGAAAGACGATGACAGGGCAGGGCCGGGCAGGCCACCAATGGAGGCAATCGACAACTGAGGCAGTCCAAAAAGGGGGCTAAAAGTTGGCGTTGCGACAAATTTCTATACCGTGTAATGGCAGTACTTATGGGGTATATTAGTGAAATTAAATGATTTAAGAAATTTATTATTTTATTAAAATTCCTATTAGAAATCTAAGTGATAATAAGAAAATGAATTCAGAAAACAATATTTTCAGAACTTGAAAATTCATTATAAAAAAAACAAAGACTATTTGTCAGCTTCATTAGCTTTTAAGCCGAAAGATTTTTATTATTAAGTTTTATTATTAATTTTTATAAGAATATATAATCTCAAAATATTTTCTGCATAAATATAGCATCCGCATTAAGTTTGTTTTTTTTTTAATTTGTAAAAGAATATAATCTTTAAACTTTTAGAGGATAAACCTTTAGTCGATTCCCTTGATATTATAAGAAGCGATACCCGATCTTACTTTTATACTTCGCGAAGCGCCCCATTCCCTTGGCAGCTCTTCGGGCTGCATCTCCCTTGCGGCCTTCACTTTGTTTGTCGTTGCCCCGTTTTGCGTGCGCACTTTTAATTGCAATTGAATTTTAATTACTGCGTTGTCAGCAAAGAATGTTGCAGCCAGCCGTTTAAGTGCCGACAGGCAGTGCAAGAAACATTGGGACATCGGGAGAGGGACAATGAGACAGAGAGACCATCATCATCATCACCGGGAGCAACAGGAGGAGCAACTGCAGCAGCAACTCTTGGGCCGTCGGTAACAGTTGCTGTCTGGTTAGTAGCGGTAATTGCAAGCACTCAAAAAAAATTACCATATATAAGGTCAAGGAAATTGTGATAAAATAAGAAACGAAATAACTTTTTATTTTATTAAATATTTTGTAAAAAAAAAAATTACATTTATAGTTTCTGCCTTGAAAATGGCTTTTCTAACTCATTAAAAATTATTAAAAACTAGTAAGGAAGCCAACTTTGGGTAGTCGAAGTGTGTGTACCCTTGAAATTAGCCTTAGGATCATGGATTAGAATATACAATAGATCATAATTAAACCAAAAATTTATAAATTTCAATTTGTAAATCTTTTCTGGTTTTTGGTTTTTATTATGATAGCAGAAAATTTGACTTTAATATGTTAAACATGTAATATTTCATGATTTTTTTACAATATTAATTACAAAGTTTTGAAAAACTCTGTCAAATATTTTGTCAAAATCATATTTTTAATTGGTTTAGTCTTTATTGATTAATATTTTGGTTGCGACACTAAATATGTATGTCTTTTGACAATCATTTTCATTTTTGACTTCGTTATCTAGAAAACCAAAAAATTCAAATTATATTAAATCGACATTTTTATATGCTAATTTTTGTCTAAATCTTCAGTTTTTCAAATATCATAACTAAGCCAAAAATGCATTAATTTGAATTCGGAAAGCTGTTCTATGTTAGTTTAAATTAGATTAATAAAACTGCATACTAAATTTTTAATTTAACTAAATTTAAATTTTTGTCAATTTTTGAATATTTGTAATGATAAAATTATATCAAAAATTTGGCAAAAAATTTTCAATTTTTTTTTTCTGTCAGACATGGCTAGATCGACTCTGCTGTTGATGCTGTATGATTTACAGTGTCGCAAATGACTCCTTCACTCCGTTTTAAGCTTTTGACTGGAATTATAATACCCTAGAAGGCTGTAAATTTTTCCTAGTGCATCTTAAGGATAAAAATCAACTGCTAACTGCTCCTGTGCCCCTCGTCTTTGACTTATTTACAGCTTTGTGTCTTCGACAGTGCGCGAGAGAAAAAGACCAAGGCAAAAGCAGAAGCAGAAGCAGCAATTAAATGAACGACACAGCCGACGGCAGTTGACGTTCCAAGAGTTGAGTTCGCGTTCGCCTTTCGCCCTTCATTAATCAGCAGCAATATAAATGTGATGATCCGATAACGTTTATCGACTGCTGATAACTCTATTTACTGAGCCCCTCCGATAACCTAATGAAGCAGCCCCGCCCACAGCCCCTATTCCAGCAGCATCTGCAATTAGGAATGTCTGGGCTCTTTGTGATTAAGTCGCAAAAGACGTCGTCGACTCTGATGGACTCTTGTCTGGCGGCGCTCAGATAATTTATAATTTAGCCAAGATGCGAGATTCTTTCAAACGCTTTTATAATTGATTTAAAATTTATCAGACGGGGTTAATGGGTAGTTAAAAAGGCTGCGAGTAATCGATACTCTTGATAAAGGGGCCTCTCTGTTTAAGTTTTCTAAGCAGTGGTAACCATAAAACCTAATGAGGATGCTAATCGCTTGAGTCTTGAGTTTGTTTTTAAATTTCAACATGTTTTTTATGGAAAGTTTGTTTTAATATAAAGTAAACTCTTCGAAAAGAAATATTTCAGAAGCGGTTGTATTAAAAATAAGCTAATTAAGTAGTAAATAAGCATTCCCATTAGTACCTTCTAAATAAAGGAATACTAAAGCCGAAATCTATAAACTATCATTTTCTATAAAGAATTCCTTTACTTTCCTTTTGGAAACTTATTCTTTCCGTAATAAAATATTATATTATCAATTTATTAACAAGTACATTTTTCACAGACACTACAAATATAAGTAATTTGTCTTTAACCCCAGCAGGTGCCACTTAATACGCACTCACAACCCAAAAAAAAAAACACATAATAGCAAGAAAATATAATAATCGGCTGACTGCGGGTGACATTTCCCTGTTGTTTTTCCTTTTCCCTCGAGCCAACTCCACCAATCAACGGCGAAAATAACAAAATGTCAAACAGAACGCATGCAACAATTTATTTAAATACCTCAACCTCATCAAATTTAAGTTAACACACCCCAAGCATCGCCATCAAGCATTACGACAGACGACGGCAACGACGACAGAGCGAAATGAAAATGAAAATGAAAATTCAATTTTCCACCTAAACGCAGACACCGCATCAATTTTGAAAATGCTTTTGCCCGGCAATGAAAACGATTTGTTGTGTTTGACGAAGAGACCAGAGCCAGCAGCCAGGCCGGAGTGAGTGAGTTACGGGGGAAAATCAAGGGGGGACGTGGGGGAAAATCGTATGCCAACGGGGGAAAAGCGGAAAAGCCACGCAAGTGGAGACCAGACAGAGAGCGGCACTCAAATCGGCAGCCAAGAAGTCAACACGGAACGTCGTTTTCGATGTCGAATGCTAAAGAGATGCAGGCGGGTTCCAAGCACCAGAACAAGAATGACAAGGAGCAAAGGGAAAACTGTCAGAGCACTGTAAGGAAAATTACTGGAAAATCCCATGATAACCAGATCAATAAATGTGGTTGTAACTAAGTAAAAGGTATGAGAATTTGTTTAAAAAAGAAATGGTGCCTTAATAAGCTTAAATTTCGCTCTGAAATATTTTTAAAATATTAATACATTTAGAAGGGGAAACCATGTTTATATAAATATATTTAGAATTACTCTTGCAAAACTTTTGAATAAATAAATAAATAATTTTCATTATTATTAATTGTTAACAAATATATCCTTTAAACTCGTTTAGAAAATGTCTAATTTAAAAAAAAAGAAGATAATCAACTAAGTAAACATTTTAAATTTGCAAGCAATCTCAGTAATATTTAGACTTGCTTTTCGGATTTAAGAAAAGCATATTTCTTAAACATTTAAAATTATATGAAACTAATTGTGCAAATTATTTAAGAACACATTATTTAAAAATATAAAAAATAAGCAAGATAAGCGTCTAAATAGCTGAACATCAACTTTTAAATTACAAACCTATAAATGGATCAAGTAAACTTAGTATAATGATTTAAGTAGCTTAATGTACAATTTCTTGGCATTATTATCAAGTCAAAAACTAAACTTAAAAAGTATAAAACAATTAAACTATGTATCATGATTTAAGTAACTTAATATACAATTCCCTGGCATTATTTTCAGGTTAAAAATTATACTAAAAATATAAATAAACAACTCGCTGAACCTTTTAATGTTCCCTTTTGACTGTAATTAAATTTTAAGGCTATAAACCATAA